GAACTAAAATTTTCTATGAATATATTTTTATAGAAATCAAAATTATTTTCTCACCAGAAATAACAAATGTTAAATTTTTAAGACAATTTGATGCTCCATCTGGAATTGTTTTTGAACCAGGCGCGTCAGGTCCACCTCGATTCATAAATGTTTTAAAATTTTCCACTCGTCGTTTCTTTTCTAATGGATCAACTTCTTTTATTTTCATTTTCTTGTTCGGTGTTGTACTATCAGCTTTTTTTAACGGAGCATTTTCATCTACTGGTTTTGACTTTATATTATGTGATTTTTGATCAGTTTTTGGTATAAAGATATCATCATCTTCATTATCAATATGTTCCCGTATTCGCTAAAAGTCCAAACAGATTAATAAACAATGATTTAAATTCATTATTCAATACTTTATTATTGTTTGATGATGATGAAATAGAACCTTTTTTGAAGAAATTTCGAATATCAGCCATTTGGTTGAAACTAAGAATTGAAGTGATTCTATGTTTATATTCACAACTAAGAATGGGATGATAATAATAAAAAGAAACGTCGCTATATTCTGTGATAAGATATTTTATTTTGAAAAGAGACTTAATAAATAGAAAGATGAATTGAAATAACCAATCAAACAACACATTCGATGCAAATGTGAATAAGATAAATTAGATTCACACGCTACATATATATATATATACATATTAAATGTATGTAATGTATTATCCTTATTGATTTGAACCAATCAGTTTCTATTCCATGTTTAACTATTTTCTATCCAACTTTTGATGAAAATAAGAATATGTACACGATGTACAATTCAAGTCAAAAAATAGTTCACTTAGAAAAGAAATCATATGTTTGAATTAAAAATAAAATTTATTCTGATTTTCATTAACGAGATGATATATGTTTAAAATTAGAAAATAAAAGGAATTCATTCTGGAAAATCAGGGAGTCAGTCTCATGATTCAGAGATTTTGAACTAATATTTTGTTCGTAATAGAGTTGCTAACAGGCTACTTTTTTCTCGTCTGGCCTAGTCTGCAGGTCAAACTAGACTTATTGATGCTTCTGATTTTTCGAATACGTTTAATTCTATAATTCTGCATTAACGTATCATTATAGTTTTACTTGTTCATTTAATTTATTTATATAAAGATAAGATAGCAACAAGTTCTTGCATAAAATAGTAAATTAAAACAATGAAACAATCATCATACGTTTCATATAATCGAAAAAATGTAATCATGATAGCTAAAACAAGAAATTATCAGGCATACAACAAAGAGATAAAAGAAAATTACTATAAAATTGTTTTAGATCTAAACAAGTTCTTCTGTAAGGCAATATAAGATCTTCAACATTAAATTGACGTTCAACTCAAGCATTTCTTGCTACAATCGAATGAATTTGTCGAAGTACTTTCAAATAATAAGGCAATATATCAATATTTGATTCCTAAAATGTAAGATCCAGGCCAAAAATTTTGAGCCGATAGGCACCTCACACATACACACACACTCTTATGGTACAAAAAATTGATCCACAATGTTTCAGCATTGTTTTGTTGCGAGATACAGATCCAACGTTACAAGTTTTTCGTGAACGACCTATTATCGTACATTAGGTATTTATGTAAATTATTTAATAAGAATGTGAGTAAAAGCAAACACGTCATGGAGAACTATACTATATATATGTAACATCTTAAGTATGTATTATCCTTCGTAATTATTAGTGTTGAATATAGACGAAATGTTAACGATGGAATTATCTGACCTATGACGTGTTGATCAATATGAGTAAATTGATCTAGTTTATCTTCACAACTTTTTCGAAATATTTTCTGTTCGGATACAATCTTTCTGCTGGTTTCATTAATATAGAAAGTCACTCCACCACAATCATTAAGATAAACAATGGTATTTATGTTTGTTTTAATGATATACCTCCTCAAAGATGTTTTCAGCATGGCAGATTGCTAAAAGTCATTTTCAGCATTTTGTACTTTGCGAATTGAAGAGATAGTTCAACTGGAGATCTAATACTTCTTCGATTTCATGTGTACGTGTAGCCTTCTATCATTATTCAATACGCATCTAAATTGTCCTTTTCCTTACTGTTTGCATTTTGTGCTATTCATCGTCACTGTTTTGCATTCAAACTGCTAAATTTGCTACATGGCTTTCTATACAAACTCATTGAAACTCTATGCTTCTTTTGTAATATTTTGAAACTTAATAATTTAATCATCTCCTTTGTCCCAAAATCATTGCCTTATTTAGAAATTTTTTCTAGCCTGCATGTACACTAAGATTTTCTCTTTAATATACTTGTTCTCATTTACTCCAACCAAAAGTTTGACTCTGTTTCACATATAGAAAAATGTATGTTTCTGACAACCACTCTCTATTATCATTTTGTTCTGAAATTTTGGCATAAACTAAAATTTCCAGCTGCACGAAAGTTCTTACTAATCTGAACGATACAGAGACATACAACTAATTAATAATATGTTGAAAAGATCCTACCAAATTTGAAAGTGAAATAGAGTAAATTTCATATTACGAATTCTATGTGTGTGATAACATTGTTCTTATGATTAATCGATGAAATTATTCAACTGCAGTATACGAACAAGTGATTTTTCTTATGTTCAAAACTCTCTTGCAAGAGGTTAATACCTTACAAATAAATTGAATTCCAACATTCAATAACACTCAATAAAGCTTCAGATACAAAGAATTGCTAAACTTGTGGCAGAAAAAAACATTTTGCATCCACAATAAAGATACTTCATTAACACATTTCTGGATCGATGATTCCTATTGAAATTGGTACCATTCGATAGAGAATAAAACTCTGCACTTAACACAACCAAATAAAGATCCAACACAAGTCATGAAGCCAATCCAGACAGGAAAAAGTAGAGATTCATCGTCAAAACAGGGTGTAAAATACAGTGTGTCGAGTCAGAGTCCTACTTCTGTCCGGTAGCTCGTATTGAAAGTGTGGTCGTCTACATACTAAGCCACATCTACATTCCAATCGTTTGAACAATCTTTGAACAAGCTGCAGATGACGTTTATCTTCTAGTAATACAAATTTGATATCTGATTTATCAAGAAGAATCACGTTAGCTGTCGTATATAAACTAAAAGTTTCTCTACATCAAAATTATGAAATATGTCTTAATCGAATTCAATAGCAAATATCAGATCATCCAAAATAATTTAGAGTATATTCATAGACTTGCTCGCCAACTGATCATGAAAATTGTGCTATGAATCAACTATTTGAAAACGCTAAATAAATTATAATTCAATGCAATTTAATAAAAATGCTAATAGTTTATGGAAAAGGTCTTTGAAAAAATTTTCTTTTATCTTATAAATCCAAAAGTAGTAAATCAGAATAGATTTTCTTCAACAGTTAATGATTTTCTCTTATTTTGAATCGATCATCATCTAATGTAATTCTTGATGTGATTAAAAAAACAATAATGTTCAACTGAGAAGAACTTGATCCAAATGTGATACAATTGATAATCAAAATATCATTATTCATCAGTTTATCATACTCATTTAACTAATTTTATTTTCATATAAAAAATTTAATATTGGAAAAAAGTTATGCTTTTCTTTTCCTTCTTCAATTTAGTTTTAATAATATATCAGAGAAATAAATCCACTATTATTTCGTTCTTAATTTATTTAAAAATCAAGTATGAAATCAATATCGAATTCTTCTTCAATAAATTCGATTTACTTAAATGAAAATTTATTTTTATGATAGTACGTAGTTAAATACGTAATATCTTGGAAATATCAATGTTAATAATGATCAGATGAGTGTTGATAATGATTATTTTGATTCAGACATATTCTAATCTTGTTATGAAAATTCAAGTTTTTATTTTTTTTAAACAAGAAACAAAATTTTCCTAATTAACATTCAAAAAGTTCATTGATATATTTTATGGCTAACAACGAATTGTTTAATAGAATTCTTTTATTCTTTTCCTTAATTATCTTTTTTCGAACTTTGTATTCAAAGTAGATTTTCAGCGAACGCCTATCAGAATTTCAATAAGATGATTCTAATGTAATTTTGATATTCACATAGAAATTATTATCCCGATTACAAAATTTGATAGTTTTCAATTTGCTTTTCACTTTTGCCTTATACATTGCATTGCTGGATTTTTTTCTATTAATTAATGTTACAAATAAACTTTGCGTGTTTCTTGAAAAAACACTTCATTTATATTATTTTCTAAAATGCAAATTATATCGAAACGATACATTTCAAATGGAAAATTAAAGAGTATTCCTTTATTGAAACGAGGCTGAGATCTAAATTAATAAAGAAAACTTAAATAGAACGAGTATCACAAACAAATTATTATCTTTTTCAGATAGAAACTACATATTTTACAGCCATACAAAATGTTTTTTTCTAAAGTATTCAACAAAATTGATGATTGCTTTATTGTTTCTCAAGAACTATTCAAATTGATTGGAAAGAATGTGAAAATACGAATAATATGTTAAAACCAATTTTAAAGTGCTTTTCACATGTTAGGGAGAAAACGTATATCCTCTAACATACGGCGTCATCTAGCAAGTTTTTTTTCATGTATTACTCTGCAACGATGATTCATAGTAATTTACTTATTCATTTCCGTCGATCATCGTCAAACCAAAAAATATAAGAAAAATTATTTTTATCAGAGTGTTTATGTTTAGTTTCAAAAAAATATAAAAATCGAGAAAACAAGACTATTTGGAAAATAAGGAACATACAATTTGGAGCATATAGATTCTTTGAAATTATAAATCATGTATGATTACTACAGTTAGTTAAAACCGTAAAACTATTTTCAATTTATATATACTTTCATATTATTTGATGATTTTATTTTTGTATTCTTGAATTTTTTTTTGCATAATCATATTGATAAATACTAATTATATATTGTTATTTCAGTATTGTGTCTACCAGATTCCATGGCAACAAGTAATGATATTACTGGTTCGAAAGAAACAAGTGGATCATTTATTTCATGTGATTTTGAAATCTTTGGTACTGTTCAAGGTGTTTTCTTTCGTAAATATACTCAAAAAGAAGCAACAAAATTAAATCTAGTTGGATGGGTGAAAAATACATCAAGTGGTACTGTAAAAGGTCATATGGAAGGTCGGAAAGATGATATTAATAAAATGAAAAACTGGCTTCGAGCAACAGGAAGTCCAAAATCCAAAATTACTAAAGCTGATTTTTCAAATGAAAAGACAATTACACAATTAAATGGAAAATCATTTAGTGTTAATAAATAGAATAAATATTCTTTATTGTAAATGAAATTAATAATCTCAGTCTTTTTTATTCCGTCCAGTTGTTTTCTTTCTTAGTAAACACTTAGTATTTAATAATAAATGTTTATTACTGATATTTGATATGTTTTATTTCGGCATTATTGATACTATTGTCGAGCAAAAATTTAGCAAAAAAACATATGATCATTTTTTTGGAATAATGAATTTTGAAATCAGTAATTAAAGCTTATGAATATGAAACTATGATATGTAAGAATAAGTTCAATGAAGAGGGAACAGTCAACATAATTATAAGAGATTGTAACCTTATTTTTTATGCTTGAAATAATTGCTATGATAATATCTTTCTATTATAATAATACTTAAAAAATAACTAACAAGATTTTATAATGAAAGTTTTTTCTTTTATTTATTTATCTAAATTAAACAGTGTATATATAGAATATTAACATGACGATTAATTTCACTAAATTCGAATATTCGTTATTTTTTCTTTTGTTACACAGAATCGTTTAATAGATGAGAAGTATTCAGATGTAAAGTTTCATTTTTATAGTTCGCTCTATTTCAAACAGAGATTAAAAAAAAGAAAGATGCCTCCATATTTTTCAAAAACAATTAATGCTTATATTGCATTAACTGCTGGAGCTGTAACAGCCACATATGTCAGTACACGTGCATATAAATCACATATTCAACAAAGCTATAACGATAGAATTGATGTTACAAGTCAATCAGTTGAAATCGATTCTATTGAACATATTCGTCGTTATACATATTATAAGGATATTGATATTTATTCACATTATAAAACTATTTATCCTATTGTAAAAACAATAGATGATGTCTTTTATCATAGTTGTTCTATTTCAAATCATGCACCATGTACGACTAATGTTGATCTCTCGAATAAAGTCTTACCAAATTCATTAGATATCTTAGTCAATGGCATCAAAACAAATACGTTATATTTTTGATTCACATTTATAGACAGAATCTAAGTTAACTCGAACACAATCAAAAGTAGTAGCTATTATATCAGTAAATCGATCTGAATATATATTTGTTGAACATGTTTGTTATACATGTGGTTTTATTGTTCTTGGTAGTCATATAATTTATGATTCAGCAAAGATTTTATCAATATTATAAAAAACACAAAAATGGAAGTACTTGTTATTGATAATTTAGATTATATCAAATCATTTAAAAATTCATTATTACAAGATATATAAATCAAAGAAATTCTTGTTATGGATCAACCAACATATGATAAAAATGAAAAAAAAAATCAATACTATTCCAACAATTTTAAAAACTATGTAGCAATCAGACCTTCATCCATTACCAAAAATCGATTCAGATAACATAGCTATAATCATTTTAACTTATGAAACAACAGGTAGGATAAAACAAATATTACAAAAAATGTATTAACTATTCAAATCAAAAGGCGAAGCAAAACTCGAGAAAAATTTTTTGTATAAAAATAATAACGAAAGTTAATCAAAATAAAAATAAAAAAAATTATTTAGTAGCGAAGTTACAGTTATGATAACTAGTGTAGTACCAATAACACCTGAAGGTTTACATTTTTTTCATATTGCACTCGATATACTGATTATTGAAGTATATGGCCAAACAGAATCGACTGAAACTGCAACAAGCACGCATGCAACAGATTTATCATTTGGAATGACTCGCTCACTTTTAGCTTCTATGTAAATACAACTGATTGATGTATCTAATATAAATTATCGAAGTAACAATAATCAAGGAGAAGTTTGTATTTGAAGACCAACTATTTTCAAAGTTTAATTAAACATTGAAATTTAATATACTGGTGCATTACGTATTATTGATTCTACAAAACATATATTTAAATTGAATCAAAGTGAATATATAGCACCTGAACATCTTGAACATATCTATCTTCATTCACAATAGATTGTTTGAATATTTGTTGATAGTATTTCAACTGAATCATCTATTGTAGCTATTGTTATACCTGATTAAGAATATGTACGACAGAATTGTACAACAATACTAATACTTTTTAACGATATATATATGTAAAGACAAAAAACTGAAAGAACTTATCTTGAGTGATTTACAACGATTAGCTGAAGAATATAAATTTAAATATTATGAATGTATTAAAAATATACATTATCATTCTGATTTATTTTCAGAAGAAAATAATCTTGTTATATCTACATTAAAAACATGTAGAACAAAAGCTCGACAATATTTTCAAACTATAATTCAATCACTTTATAATCTTGATGAAATAAACACAAAATAATATATTGTTGAACAACAATTAAAATTATAAATTCTAATAATGATAAATCAATTCTAAAAAAATATTGATTATTTAGTTTTTTTGAGATCAAATCTTTTATTTTTAATAATAAAACATTTGAATATAATACAAATGAAAATCAAAAATTGTCATTATATTCTTTTTCAGATTGTATTGATTGTGGTGATAAATTAATTTTTTGTATAGCAATTACTCTTATACCATCTTTAGGTGCGACAACCATAACTTCTTTTTGTCGTGTTCGAAGACGAAATGATATTAAATTATCTGTTGGAGATAAATCACGTATTGCTGATCGAGCCATTTCAGCAAAAGCAAGTAATTTTGGAGTAATCATAAATGTTACGTTATTATCAAGTGATGTATAATCAAGTTGTCCTACTTCATTTGTTAATATAATACCTTCAACATTAGGATAAGTTGATAATCTTTTTAATATTGCTTCTTCGGCTGGTAACAGACCTATTTGA